ATACTCCCTACAACTGTACAACAACTCACCCTTATGGAACGGATAATACTCCCTACAACTGTACAACAACTCACCCTTATGGAATGGATAATACTCCCTACAACTGTACAACAACTCACCTATATGTAACAGATAATACTCCCTACAACTGTACAACAACTCACCCTTATGGAACGGATAATACTCCCTACAACTGTACAACAACTCACCCTTATGTAATGGATAATACTCCCTACAAGTGTACAACAACTCACCCTTATGTAACGGATAATACTCCCTACAACTCTACAACAACTCACCTTTATGGAACAGATAATACTCCCTACAACTGTACAACTCAAATTCATGTAACAGATAATACTCCCTACAACTGTAAAACAACTCACCCTTATGTAAAGGATAGCATCATATCATTGTTACACTGTCTTCCTGTGACCTCTTGTATAAAGTTGTGAATTTATATTTTATTACTTATTTTTTTCAATTTTATTTTGACTTGTTCGTTTACATTTATATAATTATGTCTTATTTGACACCTGTCTCTTGTTCTTATTTAGAATGTATTATTATAATTTATATTTTTTCTAGTTATTATTAAATTATATTGTGATTTTTGAGCTACTGTGTCCAAATAAATTCCCTTGTGGATCAATAAAGTTTGTCTAAGTAAGTCTAAGTAAATTATTGTATTTTTTATGGGAATACCACAGATGTTTATAAGTATGAGTATTATAAAACTTAATTTCTTTAAATTAAGTTTAAGTCCAGAAATGTCTGAAAACTGAGATTTTATAGATAAAGCCAACACTGTACACCTGAATGTTTAAAGTAATTAAATAGATTATGTTGTGTATGTTAGAAATAGTCCTACTAACTTAATTATGTCAAGTTGCTGTAACATGTTCTTTTTTTTTTTTTGAGTAATTTAATTAATTAATTTATTTTTAATTATTATTAAAGGGAACTATTGTGGATGTAAGTGAGCGTAACTTAAAAGCATAGACTTAGTAGAATTAAGTAATTAAAGGTTGAGAATGACAAAGTCCTCTTATTTCTATTGTTTCAAATAGGGATGATTTAAAAATAAAAATAATTTATATAGTACATGCTAAAATACAATACAGTTTCAAAGTGCTTCACCAAGTAAATACTAAAATCTATCATAACAAATAAACTGCAGTTGCAAAACATAATAATTTGATCAAGGCAAACATCTGAAATGCACATGGGACTAAATGTGTTATTATTTCAGACCTGCTGCTTGGCAGTAACAGGGATCCATTTTTATTCCATTATTATCTCTAGATAATATCTATTATTATCTCCAAGACTCTCCAAAGCAGAAGGTGGTGCTAATGTGCATACTAGGATTTCCTAGCTCAGTCTTACTGGGAAAAAAAAACAAAAAAAAACAAAACAAAAAAAAACAGAAAAGTTTGAAATTGCAGAGCGGCCAGAGCCTATCAACATTTTCCAATTAATATTTGGACCTGAGACCTGCGGCTGCAAACACACACACAGACTATACACACACGCACGCACACACACACAGGCACACACACACACGTTTTAAGTAAACAAACCAAACAAAATTGACTAGGATGTACTAAATAATAACTAATAAACTTTTGAGTCTGGTTAACATAAAATGATGTGGTTGTTGTACTTATTTTTTTTAAAGTTCTGTGAACTTATTCCGGTGGTTTGAAAACAATTGAAAACAATTTTAAGTCATAATAAATGAAAATAATTGAACTGCCTTAACAAAAAACTATAAGTCCTATGAACTGCAAATATTTGAATAGTTGAGCTAAATGAGCACTTTTAATTCAGCTGAGGCTTCGGAGGGGAATAATTTATCATAAAATGATTTGAATTCTGTATTAATGTCCGTCTGATCTATAAGAATATGCCCATGCTCATCCTTAATCCTATACAGCCAGCAGTTGTTGATTGTTTGAGTTGATGTGACAGCAGGATCATAATATGTTTGGCGAGACCTAACAGGTGAAAGTCTTTGGCCTTGGTGTTGGTAACTTTATCAAATTCAGTTTGGAGCAAGATTCTCTCCTTGTACAAATCATCAGAGAGTGATGTTACTTTTCATTTGAACGTCGTTCACCTTTGATTGTTGTTTGAGGTGAGTTGAGTAGCCAAAAATTGTACTCGAGTAAGAGTAATGGTACTTCAGAATAATAATACTCAAATTGAAGTACAAAGTAGTGGTCCAAAATATTACTCAAGTAACAGTAAAAGAGAAGAGAAGAAAGTACTACTCAAGGAAGAATAACTTAAAGAGAAGCTGTCGGGACATAACATCTGATTTATAATTTCTAAGTTAATGTAATTTGAAGGACAAAACATTAAATAACGCACAGCATCTGGTATTTTCAAAGGATAGTCACTCAAATGAGAAAAAACTACATTATCTGAAGGAGTGGTGCAAGAAACATGACTGTTCAAATGATTTCACATTGTCAACATAAAGCTTTTGTGATTTGTCGACTTACTCAGTGGGAAGAGAAACCACTTTTACTCAGGAGTTCTGTTACCCTGTCAAAATGTTACCCAAGTTGGAAGAAAAGTATGTTGCTTAAAATGTACTTTGAAAAGTACAGTTACAGTAAAATGTTAATCAAGTAGATGTACCTGAGTACTACCACACTTGTTTATAAATTTAGTTCCTCGTATTTATTGTGCCATAAACGTGGAGTTATTTGGCACGGTTTCAATTTGGCAGCAGGTCAGGTTTGTTATGTGGCCTCAGGTTTAAGAATAGAACAGTCTTTTATGTGCTTCAGATAGCTACTGGAATATATGTGCTTTTCTTGAATTGTTTAATAGTTTGGGGTTTGCTGATTGAATTTACAATCTCTGATGCCGGTAAAAAGCAAAGGTGTTTTTCCTGTAATTGTGTGTAATTGTTTATGTTTAATAAATATAGTGCACATTAATTAACATGTTAAGATCAGTGGGATACAAAATGCAATCATATTAGTCAAATGAGAACATGCTAAAAACACACATGGTACACAGATTAAAGACAAACAGACAAAAAAAATCACTATCTCTCGAGAAGACAGAGACTTTTGTTAAGATGTTCAAACACATATAAATTAGTCCATGTTATGCTTACATGTCTGACACTGTTACCAGCACACTGGGGTTTCCCCACAATCTGGAAATCCAGAATGACATCTGTCTGTTTGCGTTGAGTCTGGAATTTTCCAGGTAAGGTCCCCCCCCCCCAACTCCTAAAAGTGGGAGGATACATTTGTGTTGCAAATTACACTTTTGCTCCTTTTGCTTCCATGAATTGTACGTTTAATCTTCAGCTAATCCACTCACTAACTAACTCCGTTCTGCTGTTAACCCATCAAATCTTTATATTATATTTATATAGCTAAATAAAATGATTGGTTGAAGAATAAAATTTTGGTCGGCTAAGACACCATCAACTGATAAATAGTCTAAATGACTCAAGGACTACACTCCTAAAATAAAGCAAAATAAAGGCAAGAAGTTTTCAATACTATTATTACTATTACTATTACTACTATTACAACCACTATGATTTACTGCTTATTGCTACTACTATTACAATGATACTATGGCTGCTACTTACTATTACCTGCCATATAGAATATAAACTGGGTACATTAGTGCAGAGGTGGCGCTACCATTAGGCAAAAGTAGATGGGTGCCTAGGGCCCTCAAACCTAGAGGGGCCCCCAAACAATTTTACCACTGCCACTAATGACCAAGGCCTCAGAGCAATTTGATTTTCTCTCAATATAAATGAGAGTAGTTTACTTTTAAACAATAATCATAAGAAAAATAATAATAATCATCATATGTAATAGATGTAAACAAAAATTTAATTATTTTAGTATTAGCAAAAAAATACAACTATTTCCAGTTTTGGTTATCTAGTAGGCCACCCAACTAATAAGACAAGTTTCCAATCTACCATAAAGTAAAATAATAGAGATGTGCATGTCTCAAGAACAATGGAGGAAAACAGGCAATAAATATATATTAAAACCAAAAACAAACAAACAAACAAAAACAAACAAAAAAAAAACAAAAAAAATGGTGCACTATAGGGGCCTCCTAACTCAAGTTCGCCTTGGGCCCCCATATTGCTGACTCCGCCACTGGCTCTATGAGAAGCTCCTTTGCTTTCACTGAGTCAGCACTATCTTTACATAAGTCTAAACCAATAATTAAAACTGACAACAATTTTTTCTTTAATGTAATCACATTTTAGACACATTTTAAGCATTTAGCCGAGATTGAATGGCTTTCACTTTACAGCTGTTCCTTGTCAGGGTCAAGAAATGCCAAGTGTGCAAAGTAGTGATCAATCCGTTTTGAGTTTATTTATGTCTAATACATTACTTACAGTACATACGTGTCAGCTAAAAGTTTTGATGACTTCAGTGAGAATCTGCAATGTAAACAGTAAAGAAAATAAAGACAGCGGGTATAACATGAATTCAAGTAGTGGTGGAAAAAAAAAAAAAGGTACTGTGCTGTATACTGTGATGTTGTGGTATGTAATTTTAACAGACAGATCCGGTAAATCCTGAAGCAGCTATAGAGTTCCCCTATGGCCACTTCTGAACACTTTAAAACTAGCTGCTACATTTAGAAAAAGTCAAATATATATAAGATATACAAAAAGATATTTAGTACAGTTATGTATATATTTATTTATATTATGTCCTGTAATAGATAACCCCTTGGCACTTTAATTTACTTTAATTATAATTATGCCTTATTTGACACCAGTCTCTTGTTATTTTTGCTACTTATTTAGAATTTTTCAAGACATTGTGATGTGTGAGCTGCTGTGTCTGAGTAATTTCCTTTGTGGATCAATAAAGTCTGAGTCCAAAATGTTGAAAATAGTAAAAATAAAGAAAAAAATGCAATGAAACAGGGTGGCCAGACTAGTACAGCCATGGGGAAAATAGGAAAGATGTAAATGAGTAAAGATGTCCTGTATGTATGGTATGAGGTTTCAAAAGACAACAAATCAAACAGGCTTCAAGTGTCAGACTCCAGCAGCTTACTGGCAGGTGAAGGAGTGGCAGGTGAAGACGTTTATATTGTTGCTTGTTCGTTATACATTTTTAAATTTTGATGGAGTTTATCTGGTGAGGTTAACACTTAATTTATCCTTTTATTATGTTATTCTTAAATCTTTTATTATTTAAAGGTGCACTGTGTAGCTTCTATGGTGGAGGGTTGGTTATACCTGTCTGTCTTCTTGGAGATGTTATTGCTTTCCCCAGGCTAGTTGTTTCACAATACGGCATTAAATTGATCAATCTTGCATTTATTTAAAAACAGGTTCTTATCGCTCAAGAACTTGAAAACATTGTATTCTTACTGTAAGCAGAATCTGTCATATCACTTGGCTGTATTCTTTTAGACAGATTTAATGCCACAGTGAGCAACATTTTACACAAAGCAACAGAAGTTTTGCTCTGACAGACTAATTGTGTTTCTCTGCATCCATTGAGTTATTTTCTTTAACTCAAATTAGTTTTACATGGCAAAATGGAAACTCATTAATGTACTTAAGCAGAACCTTTAGGTACTTGTACTTTACTTAAGTGCATTTTAAAGTGGATACTACGTATTTTTGATTACTGTTTGAGATGTGCTGAAAAGGCTGAGGGTTTATTTTTAACAAATTTGTAACCTGAGTAAACAAAAATAGACAATTAAAAACAGCTAAACAAAATTCAGCACAAATCTGTATCAAAATCACTACATCTGAAGTTTTATTAGAGCACAAAATCTGCCCAAAACACCTTTACTTTTTATTCATTATGTACATTAAATACTTTTCATTTTGATGTGATACTTTCACTTGAGTATTTTTTCTGCTCTGGTATCTGTACTTTTACTTTTACAAATCTGGGTACTTCTTTACCACTGCTGTGAGAAAGAATACATTTGAACTGCGTCTGATGCAGTCTGTGACAGTCTCATGTATCAGTGATAAAAGAGCTTGTAGTCTGCAGAGTCTGTGTTTTTTAGCTAACTATTGGCAGGTTTTCTACTGATTTTCTTGTCTTAAATGTCAGGTACAAACAAAATATTTAGCAGAGTTGTAGACTTCTATATTTGTTATTAGACTGTAGCAGCTCTTTTACTTTTTACAAGTTTTTTGGGCATTTACAGAAGAAAATGTGATGACTCATTGTGACCATTGTCAACATGTTGTGAATGTTGTGATGTCATGTGCATAACCTCCATAGCACATATTTAAAGTCCACAGGTTAACCACAATAAAATTTTGTACTAAACGTAGTTCCAAAAAAAAAAGATCCATCCATTTATTCATCCGTTTTCTTCTGCTTATCCCCGACTTCCTTCACCCATCACACTTCCTCCAGCTCCTCCGTGGAGACCCCAAGGCGTTCCCAGGCCAGCTGAGAGATGTAGTCCGTCCAACGTGTCCTGGGTCTTCCCCGGGGCCTCCTTCCGAGGGGACATACCCAGAACACCTCCCCAGGGACGTGCCCAGAAGGCATCCGGAACAGATGCCCAAGCCTCCTCAGCTGCTCCTCTTGACACGGAGGAGCAGCGGCTCTACACCGAGCTCCTCCCATGTGGCAGAGCTCCTCAGTCTAAGGGAGCGCCCAGCCACCCTGTGGAGGAAAATAATTTTGCGCGATCTTGTCCTTTCGGTCATTACTCAAAGCTCATGACCACAGGTGAGGGTAGGAACATAGACTGAGCAGTAAATTGAGAGCTTCAAATTTTGGCTCAGCTCTCTCTTCACTACAACAGTCTGATACAGCGACTACATCACTGCTGACACTGCACCAATCTGCCTGTCAATCTTACGCTCCATCCTCCCCTCACTCGTGAATAAGACCCCGAGATACTTGAACTCGTCCACTTGAGGTAGGGACTCTCCACCCATCTGGAGAGTGGGTGGAGAGACTAGCTCTGGGGACATGTAATGTCAACTCTCTGGGGGGGAAGGAGCCACAGATTGTGCATCGGCCTCACCTCGACGTACAGCTTGGGCTCTGGAACCCAACTCCTTGAGAGGGGCTGGACTCTCCATTTCTCGGGTGTGGGCCTGCTCATTACCCCACAGCTCAGCCACCATGTGCTGGAGTTCACCCCGGTGAACAAGAGGGTCACATCACTGCACCTTCGGGTCAGGGACAGGTCTCTCACTGTGGTGTCGGCCTACGGTCCAAACATGAGTGCAGTGTACCCAGCCTTCTTGGAATCCCTGGGAGGGGTACAAGACAGTGCACCAACCGGGCACTCTGTTGTTCTAGTGGGGGATTTCAACGCCCATGTGGGCAACGACAGTGACACCTGGAGAGGGGTGATAGGGAGGAACGGCCTCCCTGATCATTTATTGGACTTCTGTGCTAGTCACAGTTTGTCCATAATGAACCATGTTCAAGCACAAGGGTGTCCATCAGTGCACGTCACACCAGTACGCCCTAGGCCAGAGGTCAATGATCGATGTTGTTGTCGTATCATCTCACTTTGAGCTGCGTGTCTTAGACACTTGGGTGAAGAGCGGGGCTGAACTGTCAACTGATCACCACCTGCTTGTGAGTGGGTCTGCTGGTAGAGGAGGAAGCCAGAAAGACCTGGCAGGCCCGAGCGTGTAGTGAGGGTCTGTTGGGAACATCTGGCAGAGCCCTCTGTCAGGGCGACCGTCAACTCACACCTCTGGGGAGAGCTTCTCCAATATTCTGGGGGAGCCTGGAGACACTCCAGGCTGGTCCATTACCATGGCTGAAGTCACTGAGGTGGTTGGCAAGCTTCTTGGTGGCAAGGCTCCGGGGGTGGATGAGATCTGTCCTGAGTATGTTAAGTCTCTGGATGCTGAATTTGAAAAGCCCTGTACCAGTATTATTGGCAGTTATGTGTGTCTATTCTCATAATAATATTAATAAGGGAGGGTTAGCTCTGTCGCTGAAAGATACTTTTGCCTTAAATATGACACATTTAAACACAATACTATTTGACTATATTCTGCAGAACTAACCCTATACTTATTTTTTTTTTTATCTTTTTAGTTCAAAAAGGATGGAAAAAAGCCTATTTACTCTCCTCGCTTTCCTCTGCTTTTTCGGTGTTGGCTTGTACCAGAGCTACTGGAACTGGTGAGTGATATAAATTGTCTTATTTAGTCAAATCAATAGTTAATTGTGCACTATGTAACTTAAGAAGGGTCTGCCATTTGTTTGTCTTATGAAGATGATCTTGCTTTGCCTAGAATATTCCACAGTATGGCATTAAACTTGGCTATCTTGCATTTATTCAGTGACAGGTGTTTTTGTTGCTCAAATGTCTTGAAAAACATGCATTCCTTCTGTGACCAGGAACACCCCTTTACACATATCACCTCACCTCACACTTGGCACGGTGAGGTAGATATGTTTAATGTCATACTTTGGAACATTCTGAGCAAAGCAATGACATCTCCATGGAGACGAATAGGTGGCAAACCACCCATAGTACATAGGCATTTTAAAGCCAGGATGACAAATTTTCAAATCATTGAGGAAGGAGATACTCTTTTACAAATTGAAGTAAGTTAGATACAAGGTTGTAAAGTGTCTTGCCCAAGGACACAACAATAGCACAATAGCATTCATCTGTGGGAGCTGAAATCACACTGCAAACCTGTGGGTCAGTGGATCTGACCGCTCAACCATTGTTTATGTCGAGAGATGTTAATAATAAAAATATAATAATATAAATTAAATCTACAATTATCTGACTGCAACACATCTGTAATTGAAATGTATAGGTGGTTATGCGATTTCTGTCACATTTTTGATGATCGATAATTCCTGTACTAAAACAAAGACATTTATTTTCTTCATTTATTCATGTTGAATGTTGCGTTGCATTTTTGATCACTTTCAAGGTTGTGTGTAACATGGTGTTTGTATATTGTATCTGTAGGAGAATGGATCCCATTGAAGACAGGACCTGCTTTTTGAACCTTAACAGGTTTGAGGCCAAAGCACACTGATGTGGTTTTCCTCAAGACTCACAAAACTGCCAGCTCCACGATGCAGAACATACTATTCCGGTTTGCTGAGCGCCACAACCTCACAGTGGCTCTACCAAATTACGGTGGTCAATTTTCTTACCCTTATCTGTTTCAGCGCTCTTCAGTTCATCCACACACTTTACCACCCAATATCATCACAAACCACATGAGGTTCAACAAGAAAGAATTGGAGAAGTTAATGCCTCCAGGTTCAGTCTACATCACCACCATGAGGGACACTAGTTCAATGTTTGAATCCTTGTTCGTCTACTGCTATACAGGCTCTGAAGCTTTCCATAGAGTTCCCAATAGATCACTAGGAGCCTTTTTGGAAAATCCATTCAAGTACTATCACCCAAAGGAAAAATATTCCATGTTAGCAAGGAACTGTTTGACCTATGACCTGGGGGGAAACAAGGATAACACCTCCATAGATTACGCTCGGCAGTTAGCAGCCGAAGTAGAGAAGACATTTTCACTGGTCATGATTTCTAATTATTTTGATGAATCGCTCATCTTGTTACGCTATCTCCTAAATTGGGATTTGGAAGATATTATCTATTTTAAATCCAATATGAGATCTGAAAAAGCTAAGAAAAAGGTTACTCCCGAGCTTTCCGCTAAGATCCGTGCCTGGAACTCTATTGACGACTATCTTTTTGAACACTTCAACGCCTCATTATGGCGTCAGCTCAATGCTATAGGCTTGGACTGTGTGGCAAGAGAGGTGCAGCTGTTACGGAAAGCTCAGCAAAAGCTGATGAAGACCTGTTTTGGAGAAGAAGCACCAAGACTAAAGTCGGCTTCTAAGATGAAAAACAATATTTTGAAACCATGGCTACCAGGAAATGTGGAAATAATGGGTTATGAACTGGTCCAGAACTTGACTGCGGATGCCCGGAGACTTTGTACAAAGCTCACAATGCCTGAGCTGCAGTACTCGAATGCAATGCTCAAAGCCCAGTCAAAAAGATACCTAAAGGAACACGCTAAAGACCACCGTGGCCAGAGACTAAAGACCTGAATGATGAAGTTGCTTTGCTTGCAAAGTGGCATTGAACTTTTTTGTCTCCAAGGTGACAAGCAGGTGTGCACTGCAGAGACCCTGTTCACAGTATGAATGCATGTTTCTCTATGTATTTTTCCATCAATAAAAGTTCAATTGTTCATATAACTGAACAAATTAAAGATAGATAATGCCGTAAGTCAGGGGTTTTCATAGTGGGTGAATGGGAGTCTCCCCGTATGCTGCAGATGTGTACAGATGTGGACCCTGATTTTTTCTTTGCATGCGTGTCGCCAGTGGCTCTCTGGTGCTCCCCAGGGGAGGCTGGCTTTACCTATTGAAAACTGCTGCCGTAAGTGAAACATCTGGGCAAACTAAATTATAATTCCATGGTGCCAAGTAGGAGGCGGTTCTCCCGCCGGAAAAGTTCAAAAGTTTAATGTAGAGTAATTTCTAACACACAACTTTCTGAAAAGGTCCTTAGACCTCTGCTACACCTACGCTCTGTCTTGTTTCTCTGTAATATTTCTAGGGTCTGCCGCCAAGATCTTAAATCTGTCTTCCTCTGTGATAAATGAAGCAGATTCTTAATTTTAAGACACATTCAGATTCATAATGAAAACACAAAGTTCATTTATTTAAACATGTAGTTACAGTACTAACAGTTAAAGACTAGCTAATTGTGCCATGCAGATGTGCAGCAGCAGACGTCAAACATTTATTTTGTAACATTAACGGTACAAACTGTTTAAACTTGTGTAAAGTTTCAGATAAAATCACAAAGATAAAGTAATAAATATGTTTAAAAACATTTAACAGATGTTTCTCTGAAGCAGCAGAGGAGGTGAGTAATGGCCACTGTTCACAGGTGAAGAGTCTGTGTTTGACCCAATTTACTGGGTTGTTTTAAAAAATTTGACCCAGAATACTGGGTAGACAGGAAAAAGGTGGGAAAATGTCTATCATTATATTCAATTTGAAATGACCCAACCTATTAACCCAGAGTTTGACTTAAGAAAAACAACCCAACTATTTGAAAATAACCCAAAAAAAATGACCCAACAGCCCTAACCCAGCAGTTGGGTAGAAAAAATAACCCATAATTTTTAGGGAGCTGGTTTCTTAAAAATGTGAAAAATGAACAAATTCATTAAACAGCTTGAAGCAGTTTAAAGATAGAGTTACTTTATTTTGGAAATGTTTTTGTGTATATCATTTCTGTATTTTGATTTGGAACATTTGTTGTGTACCTGTGCTTTTAAAATAAAGTCATTCATTTCTGTTGCCATTGGTGTAATATTAATTATGCTTATGTGGGGGTTAGCAGACTCATAAGAATGGTTTTCAATTAAAATGACTCTCTATTGTGATATGATGTGTCTGAATGTTAGGGCAGCTACAGACATAGATAGATACTGTATTGAGCCTTAGCAGCTGTATTGTGGGCAGTAGCAGCAATAAACAAACATACTGACATAGCAGTCCATCCTGAGCTATAGAGGGATTATCAGACTACCTACAGAAAGAGCCGCATGTCTTGTATCATGTTAATGTGCCATGTGTGACTGATTTGCAGTAGCCCCCTGCAGGGCACCGTATCACGTGACAGCCAGTGCACTACGCTTCCGAATTGCCACTGGTATTTAAGCCCTGCAGCTGAAGCTAGAGGTAAGATGCCCTCCTACCTCAAACTACCTGCTCACGGTGTACACTGTTCCTCCGTATTATGCAGTATGCCTGGTGGGTGTCCTTCTTTTATTAACTATATTTTATCTCACCAGTTAATTGGGTCCCTTTTGTATGTTTTTAGATGCTGTTATTGACTGGCCGATGCGTCTCCCTGGCAGGGCATCTTTTTAATCCAGCTCGTTTTACCTTTTTGTTAGGTAATATAAGTTCTTTTTAACTGTAGTTTTCATTTTTTGTTTCTGTCGGCCTTTAATATTTGTTTGTGTTTCTTAGACTCTGTTGACCATTTGCTGTTTTTATTTGGTTCTATTGTTTTGGTTATTTTGGGTGTAGGTCATATTTTTGCACTTATTTCACATATTTGCACGTTTTAGTTTCCCTATTAATTTATGCGTATGTGTATGCGTGTGTGTGTGTGCATGTGTGTGTGTGTGTGTGTTGCATGGAGCGCAGTGAGTGCTCTGTCCCATAAAAGTGAGGCCTCTGCCACGTGCACCTGCGGCCAGCTAGCCCTGAGTATTTTAACATTGTTAGTCCTAGCCCTCTTTTATATAAAACATTTAACCTGAATAATAATAATAGTAATAAATTATCTATTTTTTCTATAAACTTGTGGTGATAAATAAATTATTCCTAAATTTTATTTTTGTCTCTCACTTTGACCATTCACTGGTGCATCCTACCTGTATAATTAAACCTAAAATTTACACCTCATTTACACATGGTGTCTGGTAGGAACCACTGTGTTGATAAACTAATAATCCGTCTATAGGGATGCATTGTACAGATGTACGGTGTGTGGGACAAACAACTTCTAGAGCATGGAGCAGGACAGGGACAACAGCCTGTCTCCAAAGGTTCGGTCCTGTTCAGTGATGGTACTGTGCATGGGATGCTGGGGATGGACAGGAGCTTGTTTAGGGCCCTTTTCTCAGCCACAGAAATGAGTGAGTCAAGCTCTACATCCACTACAGAGTTTGTCTTCCTCACCAGCTTATCCAACCGCATGACATCCTTCTTCTTGACGCTTCCACCCCAGCAGATCACAGCGTTGAAGTGGACACTGGAGATAACTGTCTGGTAGAACATCAGAAAGAGCGTTCGGCAATTGCTAAAGGATTTCAGTTTTCTGAGAAAGTACAGAATGCTCTGTCCCTTTCTGAAGAGAGTCTGTGGTTGAGCTGTTGGCCCAAGTGCTCAGAGCTCTCTGCAACCTCCATCAATGGTCACAGATTGCAGTTGTGGCCTGCTCCTTCTAAAGTCCACCATCATCTCTTCAGTCTTTGCAGTGTTCAGTTGAAGGTGGTTAGCCCTGTACCAAAAGCTGCCTGTACTCTCTTTTGTCACCATTCCTAATATACTCCACAATGGCTGTGTACTTATGCATGTGACACAGCTCTGAGTTGTATCTGAAGTCCGACATGTACAACATGTAAAGAGAAGTGGTGACAGTACAGTCCACTGTGGAGCTCCTGTGTTGTAGACAACAGTGTCACAGGTGCAGTCCCCCAGTCGTACAAACTGAGGTCTCCTAGTGAGGTAGAAGAAGTCAAAAAGGGTACTTCTCACAGCACAACTGCTTTTGTCAAGATGAGAGAGAGACCTATGGAGCACGTAGAGTACAACGTCATCCACTCCCACTTTCTGCCGATAAGCAAACTGCTAATGGTTGAGGGTGTGGCTGATCTGGGGTCTGAGCTGGTGGTGGAGTATGAGATGCTTCATGGTCTTCATCATGTGTGATGTCCGGGCGACTGGCCTGTTGTCATTCAACTCCTTGGGATGAGGCTTTTTGGGGACAGGGACACAGGATATTTTCCATTGAGTAGGGACCCTCCCCAGACGCAGACTCATATTAAATATATACTGCAGAGGCTCCCCCAGCTCAGCAGCACAAGCCTTGTGTAGTCTTGGAAATATTCCATCTGGCCCCGCTGCTTTACTGGCTCTGATTCTTCTAAGCAATCAAATCTACTGAAGAAGTTGTTTAACTGGTTGACCTGGTCAACCCCTTCCTCTGCAACACTCCCCTTCTTTGAGCTGCAGCCAGTAATAGTCTTAATACCATCCCACATCTCCCTTGCTCCAACTTCTGTTCCAGCATCTTACTATAGTATTGAGCCTCTCTTATACTGACCTTCATTCCTGCTGTACCTGCTTCACCTGGTTATGGTCTCTAATGCCCTTTTCTTGGCATTCAGAATCCTTTTGGCATCACTGATCCTGGCGTTGCTGTTAGGGCACAACGTATGTTTTTTTGTGTGGGTTCAGCTATATCCATGCAGAAGTTAATGTATTCTGTGATGCACTCTGTGAGACCCCCAATGTACTCACTCCAGCATTCCTAGAACACTGTCCATTCAGTGGTCTCTCAGAGCTGCCTCAGCCTCAGGAGACCACTTTCTGAAAGAGTGGGTGATACACAATGGATTTGGACTGGGGCTTTAATAGTATTAAGTTGTGATCAGATCTTCCCAGTGGAGGCAGAGAAGTGGCCTTATAAGCATCTCTCACACTGGCATACAAAAGGTCAATTGTTCTGTTCTCTCTTGTTGAACAATACACAAAATGAAAAAAACTAAGGCAAACAAGAGACCAGTGTCACATGATTGACTCCCCACTGATAAACATGAAGACACCAGGGCGCTGCATCTGTAGCCTTGCGACAGTGGAGTGGCCGCCCATTCAAGTCCATGGGCCGAGTTCAATGTTGCATGTGTCCAGATTAACCTATCACAGCCATGTACATCCAGTGACTCCCTGCCCATTAAATCTGTTTTCTCTTTTCTCCCGCAGGCACACACCAATGCACGTGAACACTTGCCAGTCAGAGCTAGAGGAGCTAGAGCGGAGCCAGAGCTAAAGATTAAAAAGCTGTTTTTGAGACAACGGAAAATTTTGAGATGAGAAAAAGTTTGTGATCTAAAAAAAAGGTAAATATCACCAAAAAATCTGACATTTTTGAAAGACGTAGGTGCCCTGTCAGCTGAACACAAGCAGCTTGTGATTGCATTGCACTCTATGGGAAGAATCCTTTCTGGGCCAGAGGAGTCCAACAACCACAATGAAAAAACATGCTTTTGCTGTAGGCCTCTATTTTTTTTATTCCTTCTTTTATTCTTAAAAATAAAATGAAAATGAAATGAACATGGACATGTATGTTCCACAGTAGAGATTAAACATACCTATCACGAGGGAGACAAGCAGGGTTCAGCACTACGTCCATTACAGTTCAGATCTGTGGAGAGTGGCCCGTTCACAGAAGGAACATTCAAAAAAACATCCAAAATGAATAGATGCTAGATAGATATATTTAATGTCATACCACG